TTATTATTATTATTATTATTATTATTATTATTATTATTATATCCGCCAATGGGAGATATATATCAAGAGATTAAAAATGCACCTTTTTTTTTGGAAAATGATGAATGACTGTAAACAACATCCTTATCAGAAGAAATTATTTTGAGGAAATAAACAACCCTCATTCACAACAGTAAAATATGGTGTTATAAGGCCATTAGCAGCCTATTTATCCACTTATTTATAGTAATTGAAGGTAATTCAAACAAGATGTTAATTATCTGAGGATTGTCACTTCAAGTGGCTGTCCTACACTAAACACCTTCAAATGAAGCATACTTGAAAATCAAATATAAAAGATTCAGCAATAAAATATTGGAATTGAAATATAATACCAGTTAAAACAATTTACAAATTTAGCAGACCACAATTTTTTTTTAGTGGACACCCTGCGGACCATTTTGAATTGGCGGACCCCAATTATGTTTCGCGGACCCCTAAGGGTTTTATGAACCGCATACTATTTTCTAAGCACCAAAAGCATTTGTACAACAGAAATAATGATCGAAGTTCATGTAGGTGTTATTGTTAATGCCCAATAGTACAGCAAGCTGTAAATTCCCCCACTAGGGTTCCGCAGAACCTAGGTTGGGATAGTTAACAGATTATCTAACATAAATAATTCTAAGCAATGATGTCCAGTTAGTGACAACATCCCCTTTTTTTCTTTTTGTTTTTCACTCCAAGTATATGAATCAGTTGTTTTGACATGTAGTAAGGCTTCTCTGGTGTTCCGTCGTGTCGCTCTAAGTCTTCAAGGAAGCACAGAAACAATGTATCGATTGCCATATCGTACACGTCAAAGAAGCTGTCTGCAACGATGTACGTGGCAAGTGTCATGAACAAGATTGGCGCCCAAAAATAATTCAACGTTGGTACACCTCTGCTATCAACAACAATCGGAAACGTCGACGAGGAGTTGCGAAAAAAAGCTGACGCACCAAATGCTGTTCCGAGGGTTATCACAATTTTTCCAATGAAGAGCATAATGCTTGAAATTCTATTCAGGACCGTGACTCGAGCTATATTTCGCATGAGGAAAAGGAATGCATTTTTTTGCAGATGTAAAGAAATTCTTGCCATACACAGCAATTTCGATGTATGCGTTGTGATTTATAGACCTATACTGCATGACATCTAAATATAAATTTAAAACACAAAGTGACAAATTTTGTGAAGCAATTGTCTGCATTGCTTACTTTGTGTTCAACATATTGTATGGTAAAACGAATCAGTTTGATGATGGTTATGATCAGGGAGCCGACGGCGATTGATCCAATATGATAACGAATGCTTTTCCAAAATGATCGAAGCAGAGGTAGGTGTTTGATGTCATCTGGTTTAGTAAATGCCCAAAAGAAACTTACAAATGCTCCCGCTAGAGTAATTTCCCCAAGAGCACTTATGAAGTTCAAAATCCAAAATAGGGCCACTAGGTTGTATGCTTCCAACCAGTAGATGTAGTTTGGGACGATGTTATAACCTATCAGAACACATTCAGCTGTTCCATTGAGTGAAACAGTGGGCTTACAACTTGCACCGTCTGTATACTCGTCGGTTGAATCCGAGTTAACTATCTGGTATGGTGGTTCCACAATGGATGCTATGAAGATTACGCTAAATGCCCAAAATGTTAGAAAGGCTAGCTGCATGATGAAAGGGATGATAGGCCAGAAGAGAGAAAAAATATTGATGAAACTGATTAGTAATAACACAACTAGGGTGAGAATTGCTAAGATTGTACGCATTACAATAGCTGATATATACCAGGTTCTCTCCATTTTGACGTAGCTCGCAAGTTCTTTATAATCCAATGAAGATCTATCTGAAGTACAATCAGGTTCACGATTTTTTATGCAGTTCCGTTCATTCCAACAGAAGTAGGTTCCGTACCCTAAAAGTGCATACACCAATACCATGCTACTCCACACCATAATGGCTGCAATCCAGCGCAATAAAACTATGTAAAGCAGGGAAGCGAACATTGATATCGTTATACCAGCCACCATATACGGACATGTTTCTATGAATTCCTCGACTGTAGTATTAAAACATTCATAGCTTTGAAGAAAGTTTAGCAGGTCATATGCGACAGCGCGATCTTCTTCGGTTATTTTTCGGTTATTCGGTGTGGTGTTGTTTTCTGATAACGTGTCAGAAACCAAGAATTTGGGATAACAGCGACTGGTAAACACATCACTTTTTGTGTAAAAGTTTGCACATTTATTGTCATCCAAAGGGTCCTTTATGGTGGCATCAAAATTATTTACTTCATCTTTGTATTTAATCCATAGATACAAATGAAATCATTCCAATCGATGGAATTAACATCGACGTTTGGATCATCTAATATTTTTGAGTATCGAGCTTCGATGGCATAGTTTTCTTTTGGGCATTCATTAACGCATACTTGCAGCGATGTGGTGCAGTCAGGTTTAGGTGGTTTTACTTTATTCAAACACACTAGGTAGTAAAAAAAGAATAGGTAGGGTTTGTCTACTACAGCTTCGAACATCCCACACACTTGACCTAAGTAGTCTGATGGATAAATATACATTTCTTTATTACCTCTCTGGAATCCGATGGCGCTGACCACTCCGAGGCCAACAATGAACAAAACGAACACAAAACAGCAAATAATATCTGTACACCTCCTGTTAGAAATTGGTCCATCGAAAGTTGGGTCATATTTTTTGGGTTCACCGTAATAATTTTCTTTAGGTTCGTCGTCAGATGCATCGATGTTCTGTCGTTCTCCCATTTTGTCTGTTTATAGTGAATAAAAAAAAAACCAGACAGTGTAGCTTTCGCGGTACATATTGCACGACCTTTGATGTTTGGTGTTGTATTTTTGTTCAATAAAATCGTTTTTTATATGTAAGCTATTAGTGTTTGTGTTGGCTGTGTTGGTCGTGTTTCACAGGAGACCCCAGGTAAAGAAGTCCATTCGCAGGAGATTTTGTCGATAACAAATGGCCGAATGTCAAACAACGGGCGTCGCGTTGCAGCCAATGTGCAACTACTATATAATAGCAAAAACCGGATATTCAATGGTCAAACAAACAGTTAAATTGCTCTTGCTTTTATTTCTATACACAATTTAAATTAATAAAATGAAGTTACAGAACTTTAGAAGTGGTTTGGCTCAGAAGGAACGGTTTGGTTTCTGAACCTTGAGATCGGAGTTTCAATTCCTTGCTGTGCATTTCGCTTGTGTCCTTAGGCAAGGCACTTTATCATTGCTTCTGTACACGCAGGAGTATAAATTTGTACCTGGTTGGATTCCATGCTACTACGCGAATATTTCAGCATATGAAACCAATGACCAGAGAAAAACTTAAAAGAGAAGCGCATATACAAGCGACAAGTAGGTAACAAGTAGTAACAATTATAAACTGCTTTTTCTCGCTATCGACTTATGTGCGTAACTTAATAGGCCGAGAGCTGCAACATAAGATTTCACCCCATTTTGCCTAGAAGGTTTGTCCCCTAAGGTTAGTTAGGCTATCAAAAAAAAAAGTATGTAAGATGAATCCCATGGTTGGGCGTGACCCAATACCTCCTCGAAAAACCCCCAAAACCGGTCAATTTCACCCCATCTAGCACATGAACCAACATTTGTCAGAACAAAGTACTGTGAGTGAACATCATGAAAAACAAATCTTACCCAATATCAGGTTCGAAAGGTGATGTATGACCCAATACAAATTATCCCACCACCTAGCCACGTTCCTATCTTAATGCATTGGCTAAACTTTCTAGTATGACAGTGTAGAGAAAGTTCACCACATGTAGCTCATGGATCAACTTTTTCAGCAAAGAAGTAGCATACTGTCGGTGATCACAAATAAACCTAAACCCTACCTGATACCATTTTGTGAAGATGATGTAAACCCCCTACAAACCCCTCCCATCCATATTCTTTAATGCATTTGAAGAAACTTCTTTAAATTAAAAAATATTATTACAGTACAGGACACAACATCTGATATGCTTACATTTTAGTGGTGTTACCAAACCTCAAGTTATAAGAAGTTATACTTTTCAGCCTCAATGCTCTAATTATCATTGCGCCCCACCATAATCACCCAGTCATGACCCATATCGTATTAAAACCTAGAAGCCAGAAAAAAAAACATTTTTATGATAAAAAATAAAATTATGATTTAAAAAAATACATGATTGCAAATAGAAATACAGACGTCTTAATTTTCTTCTTAAACTTTGACGAAAAACTTGGTTAATGAGATAAAAAGCGGTTAATGAGATATATATTTTTTACAATATTTAAAAACTTGGGGAGAATATGAAATGTATATATATATACTTTTAACGTTCATAATTTAATAATAATAACAAAACAATAATAATAATAATCACAGTAATAATAATAAGCATAATATAGTGATCATAATAAAAAAAAATACCAATAGTAATAATGGTGAAAAGCACAAATTATTGATTTCTAAATGTCATCAAGATATTTTTTTCGGAATGTGGAGATAAGATATGCTCATCATGAATGAATCGTGATTATATTGCCATTCTATCCTTTCTACATGTTTACAATGTTAACAATGTTTTCTTTAAATTCTTCCTTTAAATTAAATAGGAAAATACAAAATTTGCACTGAGAAATGTTGATAAAATTGCTATTGGTAAAAAAATATAAGTTAAACAAATCGAAGTACTGTATATAAAAATCCCTTATAAAGTTTTATACATACATCTAAGTATTACTTTAAGTATCAATTATGTCTCTACATCTTATTTCTCTTAATGTAAGAAAAATGATGTAGCAAAATAACGTAAATTATATAGGTGGGCAACCGATCAAAAAGCAGATGTAGTTTTTGTTCAAGAGAAGCACCTTATTTAAAAAAAATAATAAATCTATATGATTTTGTATAGAAAGGGGATTGTTTTCATTCTTTCGGTACCTCGTTCAGTCGAAGAGTCTTTTTAAAACCAAATTCGAATAAATTGATTGATCAACTTATTGATGAGAACGGTAAATACCGGTAGTGCTTAAAAGTATCGATACAAGATATTACTTATATTTTTGTTAATGTATATGCACCAATTGTACTAAAACAAGAAGCTCCTTTTTCAGAGATTTACAACGAATTATTAAACACCAAAAATGATAGAATATACTTTGGGTGGAGACATGAACTGATATTTTGCATAGGAACCTAGACCAGAAAGGTAGTGTAGATAAAATTGACACATCAGCTTATAGAGTGAAACGCTTTATTGATATGCTGGAACTTGTTAATATATGGCGCGAGCTTAATCCCCAAAAAATGCAATTTACTTGGCGCAGAAAAGCAAACCAAATATATAGGCGACTATACTTTTGGCTTATTTCCAATAGGCCTATATTGGTTGATAAACATGTTGTGTCATGTGACATACATACGTCCATCAATTCTTACGGATCACCAGGCTATTTCATTTAAATTAGACCTGAAAGGAGACAAAGGAGCCCTGGATTATGGAAATTTAATGCAAACCATCTTATTGACGAAATTTATTGTAGTAAAATAAAAGAGATTATTAGAAATACTACGAGTGAAATAGAACATACAATTTTAAACCCTGGAGATAGATGGGAATTGATTAAAATACGAATCAAAGAGTATAGTATTAAATACGGGAAAGAACAAAATAAAAAGTATAATAACGTAAAATACAAAATTATAAAAGAAACAGACCAGCTTAATACAAATTTGATAAATAAACATTGCGACGATGATGAAATAAAGTTGCAATTTAAAAAGATAAAAACATTTATCAATTAGAAGCCAAAGGAGCCCAAATCCAGAGTACAGTGGATAAAACAGGGTGAACGAAATAATAAGTTTTTCCTTGGACTTGAAAGACATAATGAAACAAAAAAGCAAATTAAAAAATTAAAAAGTCAGATGGGTCATATACTTTAGTATAAAATAGACATTACAATATAATACAAGACAACTGTTCAAGAGAAAAGAAAAAAAATTATTATTATTATTATTATTATTATTATTATTATTATCATTATTGTTATTATTAATAATAATAACAACAATAATACCAACAACAATAACAAAACAGTAGAAATAATAATAAGCATGCCATTGAGTTTACAATACAGCGGGGAGATTCAATTCAAGAGTATGAGTATATCTTTATACTTTTCTAGTCGGAGTTTTAGATCCTTGAAATAAGGTATTACATTTTGTAATTTACAACTATAGATATAATATTTAGTGAACAATATGAAAGAAATAACGATTGGTGGCAAATCAGGGTCTCCAAAGCAGATACTTTTTGTGTCAAAGCTAATTGTGTATTAGTTTCATTAAAGATAAAATCTTTAGTAGTTTCCCACAAAGGAAGACTAATTCTACACTCAACAAACATGTGTAAGAGATGATCTTTTTCCTTATTACAGAAAGAACATAGTTCAGACCAATCTTAAACAATTTTACATTGGTGAAAACGAGTCATATATACTTCTACAATAACTGAAACACTTAGTGAACAAGTAAATTGTTAATCTTTATTCGAACGATAATATCGATCAAAATGAATGCATTACATATTTAAATAACATAAATACAGCGTCCCTGGCTGAAGAGGAAAAAGAGTCCTTGGAAGGTGAACTTACTTTACCAGAATGTGAAATAGCTACCATGGCAATGAATGCATCTTAATAAATCTCCAGGTTAGTGATGGTATTACTGTCGAATTTTATAGACATTTCTGGAAAGAAATTGGTCCCATTGTCTGCGAATCATTAAATATCGGTTATACACAAAATAAATTATCAATAACACAAAAGAGGAGTGTTTTAAATTTGATCTTTAAAGAGGGAGAAAGAGAAAGTCTAGATAATTGGAGACCGATATCATTACTGAACACTGACTATAAATTGCCGCAAATGTCTTAACAAAACGTTTGCAAAATGTCATAAAATCCATAAAATACTGATCAAAAGGGATATATAAAATGTCGATTTGCCGGAGAAAATGTACGATTACTGCAGGATATCATAGATTATACAGAAAGAGAAAACTCCAATGGAGCCCTGGTATTTTTAGATTCTCAAAAAGCTTTCGATTCAATCAGTCGAGAATTTATTATGTTAAGTATAATTTTTTAAAGTTCAATTATTAAATATGTTAATCAGTGGCGGCGCCAGGGGGCAGGGGCTTAAGCCCCCATCGGTCTGATCAAGCCCCCCCCCCCATCGGTCAAAGCTCGTCGGGCAGTCGGACTGAAAAAAAAATAGGTCTAGTTTTCCCATCCCAGCCATTTCCGGCCATCTAGAAGTCACAATTTTTGTTTTAATCTCGTTTTGGGAGGAGGGGATACCCCCTCCCATAGCCTCCCTTGGCTCTGGCCTTCAGCCCTCAGATAACGCTGCGCTCTATAGTTACACCCATAAATACTTAGCCCCCCTCCCCAGTCGAACATCTTACCACCCCCCCATAAGCTCCCCCCCCCCATAAATTATATCCTAAAGCCGCCACTGGGGTTAATACCTTATATAAAAATACAAAATGTATAAGAACAAATATTATGTTTTAAAATGTCAAAAGGAATTAGACAAGGGTGTCCCCCATCAGCCCTACTATTCATAATTGTATCTGAAGTTATGGCAACTGATTTAAGAAGTGATAAATGCATAAGAGGTATCAAATTACCATTAAACGAAGTTAAAATCGCACAACTTGCCGACGAACAGTACTGTTCGTTAATAACGACATTAGCTTAAACAAGAGTTTAAAATTGATAGAATCATTCTGTAAAGTCTCTAGAATGAAACTAAACAAAAACAAAATAAAAGGCATGTGGCTTGGTAGATGGATAAATAGACAAGATAAGCCTCATGGTCTATGTTGGGTAACATTAAGTTTCTTGGAATCTACCTTGGCCATGACCAAGAATTATGTGAACAAAAAAATTGGACAGATAAAATGCTTAGCCTAGAAAGTCTTCTATAGATACGTGGAATAATAGAAACCTTTCTTTTCTGGGTAAAGTTTTGATAATAAAGACACTTGGTTTGTCATATATAACGCTTGCATTATTAAAACGCCTGAAGAAATAATTTAAAAAAAATAATTAATTAATTTTTAATTTTCTATGGAGTGGTAAAACAGAAAAAATAAAGAGAACAACACTATTCACAGATTATAGAAATGGTGGCCTAAAAATGACCGATTTCCAGTCTCAAATAAAGTCTCTACAAATAGGTTGGATTAAAAGACTGTTTAACAAAGATACGGGCAAATGGAAAGAAATACCTTTTTTTTTTTACTTGTCCAAAATTTGTCCTGTTGAGTGTTATCTAAATATGTCGAATTTAAATCATCCAAAAAATACAATTTTAAATAAATTGCCTTTTTTTTTATAAGGAAATGTTAGAGTCCTTAACTATCTTTAACAAGACAAAACATCTTCCTGAATCAATTAGTGACACTACAGAACAAAACCAATGGGGAAATGACCTAGTTGTTTTTAAAAACAAATCTTTGTACTTTAAACACTGGCTTGATTCTGGCTGAATCAAAGATATCTTAGATAAAATACTTTTTTGTCTGCAGATACGTTAGTAAGAAGCCTTAAGACAAAAACAAAACTGGTTAACCGAATTTGCCATGCTAAAGAATACGATCCCATATAACTGGAAAAGAAAGATAAGCAATCAAAATCCAGACACTGCTCCCGCTACAAATATAGATGATATCTTTATTATAATAAGCAAATTAAAAACTAAAGACATATAAAAATTATTAATTATTATTATTAAAAATAAACGCACATTCCCATAAATGATCTACCTAATTGTCTATCGCAATCTTCAATGGATATGTTTGCTGATGATACTATAATCTACAACTCAAGAATAGGATTGATGATATTGAAATGAGTCTTAATTTTGACTTAGATCAAATCTCCACCTGGCTTCTTGCTAATCGCTTAGCACACACAATACCAAGAAAACTGAAGTTATGTTGATCGGAACGCCACAAACACTCTCTTCACTTCGGCCTACCAATGTTTCTATTAACAATTTAACAATCAAACAAGTTACCCTACATAAGCATCTCGGATTTTTTTTAGATCATTATCTTACTTTTATTCCGCATGTTGATAAGTTGTGCAACAAATTAAGTTCATCTATTTCTATCCTTGCCCGCACTCGTAAATATGTCCACCAAGCTACTTCTCTTATGTTATACAATGCACTCGTCTTGCCTCATATTGACTATTGTTGTTCCATCTGGGGCTCAAGAGCCTAACTTGTTGCTGAAGTCCAGAAACTCCAAAACAGAGCCAAAAGAATTATTCCGAAAGTTCACCCTCACACCACCTCCCACCTTCTTATTGATAACATTCTTCCCATTTCTTTTGTTTCTCAAAGATATCATTTTCAACTTGGCTGTCTCGCCTACCGAGGTTCCACCAGTACCGTTCCTGATTACATCAGTCGCATGCTAACCAGGACTCAACCTGGAGGTCGACCAACTACAAGATTCATCTCCAATTGTAATTTCTTTGTTCTTCGTCCTAGTCTTTCTATTAATAAGCAATGTTTTAGTTATAAAGCGCCTTTGTATTTTAATCTTATTCCTAAGGATACTCGCTTATCTGAAAATTTATACTCTTGAAACTTAAACTTAAGCAATTTATTAATAGATAAATTTGTATATTTTTTGATTGAATTTAACTGGTATTAATGTATTGTTTTATTGTAGGCCTTTTTACTTTTTCTGTGTTTTGAATATTCAGTATTTTAAATGTTTGAATGTTTGTATGTTTTATCGAGGGCCCTTAATGATCAGTTAATTTTGGAACTGGATAGGTCACCCTCTTTAAAAATGGTAATAATTAAATAAAAACAAATCTACATCGCAAATAAATTGGGAAAGAATATTAAAAAAATAAGTTGCATGGGAATACATTTGGACAAAAAGGGTCACCAAAATAAAATAAAGGAAGCTCGCACACTTTAACTTTAGATTACTACATGGAATTCTACCGACAAATAAAAGTCTTTACAAGTGGAACGTCATAAACACTGATAAATGTTTTTATGTAATAACGTTAGGGATGAAAAACATTTACTTTATGAATGTCTAAATGCCCAAATTGTATAAGAATCAATTAATAGATTAATCACACCGGTAAATATAACATTTGATAATGTTATAACTGGGACAAATAAACAGTATATAAATAATCTCATTACTGTATGCACCTCCTCTTTGTATAAAGCACACATTCTGAAATCTCTGAAAAAATGGAACTTTGGTTCAATTAATACCTTGTTAATGAATGAATTACATTTGAAATATCTGATATAACATTATTTTAAAAAAATTACCATCATACAAAGAAGATAATTATGTGTGAATATACTTGCTTTCATAAAAATGAAAGAAATACATTCATAAGAATATTAAGGAAATAGTAAATCAAAGTGTGATAAGTGTATGCTAAAATGTGTTCAACTGCTAAAACAAAGATGATTGTGCAAGAAAACTGATTTTAGTATCTCAATTATGGTCACCTCTTTAATTTCAGTTATGTAATTATTTTAATTAATGAAAATTGGAATAAAATTTGGTATATAAAATATATGTAAATATGTATAGGCTTATATATGTATCTGTGGGTGTATATGTTTGTGTGTGTATTTATGTGTTT